AATCATCCCACATTAGGTTGAGATGTGGGAGGAGGCTTAGACTAGGGAATTAGAATTTTGGGGATCTCAAACCATGACAAATGCGTAGCTACCCTGCAGCTAATTGTGCAAATATTGGTCAAGAGGAGCCTTCCTGCACACAAAGGAGGAGACTCAGCTCTTGAGCAAACCCTGTAACATTGAAACCACAACTACAAAACCAGAGAAGCATCCTAAGAATGACCCCGTCTTTGTGTTTACCTTTACTCCTGCCCTAACTCATCTCCTGAGCCCTGCCTTGCTGATTGGTTCCCACAGATGAACCCCACAAAGAAAATGGGAATTAGGGAAGCCTACAGTAAATGCAGCAGCTACACCCAACAGCCACTGGCTCACCCAGGAGCCCAAAGGCAGCCCAGGCATTTCAGTGCTTTTTGGCAATTAGAGCTTGAAGCTGCTGCTGTGCAAGAGCCAAGGAAAGCACAACTGCTCAGGGCAAGGCACATGGGGAACAGGTCTGGCTGTGGGAACCCACCGGGATGAGTATCAGCCACACACAGATATTGCCCAAACCATTAAACAGAAGTTTATGTTCCAAAGATAACACAAGAAGTCACTTACCAGCTGACTAATGTGTGTCTGTCCTAGTTAGAACAGCTGGGACCAGTTCATTACTGTATGGGTGTAACCCAAAACTCTGTATTCTATAGCCTTCCATGCTGTTTTCCCAGAAACTGTTATCAATAGACCATTTACACCACCTGCCCAGAGCACGCCTGACCTCTCAGGCTATAAGCTGGGTGTTAAGAGGCCTGCGAGATAGGAGGATGCTCCTGTCCTCATTGCGGAACTCCCTGCCCTGAGGCAGGTACTGGGCATTCCTGCCTGAACCTGAGAATATATATAATCTTGGAGTCTTGGGACTTTTTTACCACTCGTGGGATCCAGAGAAGGACTGTGACCACTACTCTCGACCGGACTGCAACAGCACTCTCACCAACAGGTTTTCCTTCTCCTTTTACTTTGGACTCAGGGGGCCCAACGAACACCACTCTGTTCATGCCCCAGGGTGCTGGGTTATACGTTTAGGTTTTGGGGGTTAAACCCAATTGTTTGTCTGTATAATTGTATTTACTGTATTATTTAATTGTTATTCTGACTTATAATCTCTCTTTTGAGTTGGGTTCATTTCCCCTGCCGGTTTACCTTTAAACCAGCACAGTGTCAGGACCCAACCCCTCCCTGGATGAACTACCCAAGCCCTGGGTCCCAGCAGTGGCCCAAAAGACTCACATTGTTTTCCTTCACTGAGGAGATCACTGGGGGTGGGAAACAGCCCTCTCAAGCCCTTTCCACGGGACAGCAGTGTCACAGCAGCAGGTGGGGGATGGAGAGGAGCAGCAAAGCAGAAATTCCAAAGGCATCTGCCCAAGGAGTTTTCCGTCTCATGCAGAAACCATCAAGGCAGTCGCAATTGCAGGGAGTTGGAAGGAACTGATCTTTCAGGTCCCTGCCAAACCAAAGCATTCTGGGACTCTATTAACACTTAATCCTAAAAAAAAAAATAAAAGAAAAAAGTCAGCTTATGCCTGAGCTAGAAGTTTGAAAGAGGATTGTACATGAAATACAACAATAGCTGAACAACACAGAACACATGTCCTCGGCCCACAAACACTACCAAAGGTGTGTGATACATGCTGGCAAATTATTTCATGATAATCTCACTATGGCACAAACAGGAAAAAGCACCACAGAACAATGAGGCTGCTCAGTGTTTTTAGTGGTCACCAACCACGTTGACAAAATCAGTGTTCTAAAAATATTTTTAGCTCCTTGTACCAAAGCAAAAAAAAAAAAAAAAAAAAAAGAAAAGAAAAGAAAAAGTTCCTTATTTACAGTAG